CCCCCCTCCCGGGCCCCGCCCCCCCCCGCGACCGCCCGCCGCGCGGGTTCCTGTCAGGACGCGGCGGGGCGGGAGCGAGGCAGGGGCCGCCGCCGCGCGCTCCCCCCGCCCCGTCGCCATCTTCCCCTCAGCGGCTCCCCCGGCGGCGGGGGCGGGCAGAGCCGCGGAGGACTGAGGTAAAGCCGGCCCCGGAGGGGTGAGGAGCGGTCCCCGCAGCCTCCCGTCACCGCCGGTGAGGTGCTGAGGGTGGAGGCCCCGGCGCTGCTCGGCTCCCTGCCCGCTTCGGAGCGGGGTTATAACGCGAGCAATAAGAGCGAGCAGATGAGATGTGTTAGGTAAAAGTGCGCCAACAAGATATATATTTTTCCCATTAACAAAGTTCAAAAAACGCTATTCTCTCGAGATAGGGTCCTTAAGTTTTTTGTTTGTTTGTTTTGTAGTTTTTTTAAATACAGTTCTCCTCAGTGCTGAGATCACTGCCTGACGAGGCTCAAAATCGCAAAGCTGTTTTGAAAATGATAGGCCATATAAGTTATGGAGAATAAAAATTAAAGGCTCATTTTGCTGGGTCCCCATTTTTTTGTAGTTTCATATGTCTGCTTGTCTTGGTTAAAATTTCTACTGGGTGTTTTTATACCACGTAACAAGACAAGGAATGGGCCCAAAGTGCACAGTGGTTAATCAGTACTTATTGCGTATTAGGGATTAGTTATTAATTAGTCATTGCTTTAACCTGTAATAGTGATTTTGCAAAAACTGAGGCTCACAAGAGGCTTTGATGTCACCAGTGTGTTTTTCATTCTGCTGGCTTCTTGTTCTGAAGCATTTCTTTCATTTAAATAATGTATTGCAGATATCCGAGATGAGACAAAGGTGTGCCCAGGTTCTCTGGAGTGGAGGGATGTGCGCTCATCTTTGTGAGTCTGAGCTTTCATTTGCTTCTTGTTTTTAGTAATGCAAAGAAACATGGTTTCATGTCAAATTGGAAGCCAAACCAAGGGAAAAAATAAAGATAGAAGGTCACCTTAAAGAAAAATTTCAGGACAATAGTTTTGCACACTTGAAAACAATTATCATAAGTTTGACGTAGTTGTTTTATTTGTCTGACAAATCTACTGAACTGAAAGGTCACCCACAGCAGCCCTTACCTGCATCTCTCTGCGTTGCTCCACTGCTCAGGCATAGATATGGTAGGTTTTAGGTCTCAAAGCACTTTTTGTTTTGACCTACCAATTTTTTTTCAGCATTTGCAACAGCAATAGAAGCTCTTAGAGCAGCCTGAAAGCTAACTCAGCTGCTCTGAGTTTCCTGTGCTCCCGGCAGGCTTAAATGCTCTTCTTCAGGTGAAAGCTATTGCTTATTGCTCACATGTTCGGGCAGTAATTTCATGAACTCATATGCATAAGCTGAAGTGATTTAGGAAATGTGTAAACAAAGGTGGAACAATTAGCAGTCCTGCAGAAGAAGGTGCTTCTTTCATTCTGTATTTTCTAAGCACAACAGGAATACCATACTGAAAGCTCCCAAGAAACTCAGTGGTTTTCAGTATTAATATTGAGTACTTGACAGAACTGGATATTAAGTTGAATTGAGTGAGCCAGAGGGATATATAATTAAAGTTTTAAAAAGTAGAAATGCTACTCTTTTATATGATTTGAGAGAAAAAAACAGTATTGCTCAGGTTTGCAGTATTTATATATTCAGGAATATCTAGTTAAAATGGCAGATTTCTGTGGCAACAGTGGCTTGGTTGCCATAGTGCTCTATCTTGTTAATTTGCATTGAAAAAATTATGACTCAAGTTTCTTTAAATAAAATTTCAGATTTGGTTTTAACTTCTCTGTTGATAGGTGAGCTAAAGTTCAATATCAAATGTCCTGTGCCAGGAGAAAGTTCTTACACTATTTATAAGCAAATGAGTGTAATTCCCGGGATGTTGATTTAAGTTGCAGTGACAGGTTAAAATGTAGCAAGTGCTATATTTAGATTTTTTAAGGTATAATTTTATCTGTTAGCTTGTAGAGTCAGCAATTCTAATTTTATTTGCAAATACATTTTTGTGCTCTTTTCTGTGTTGCTTGTTTAGGCCGCAATCCATTTCCTAATAAAGTCAATGACAGTTTCAGCAGACTTCAGTAGGTTTCAGATAAAGGGAAAGGTTTATTTGAGGCTAAAAGGTCAGCTTGAGAAAGGCCATTGTGTGAGACAGGTTGCAATCAGGCCACTCAAGCGCAGGGCGTCTTTACTTCTGACCTGAAGTTACTACCTCAGGAGTTGCTAAGCAGACAAGTCCTGCCAGGAGTACATTCCTTAAGTCAGTCTGCCAACCTGTGTGTTAGTAAAAGTGGAGAGGTGTGAGACTATGGAAGAAATTTAATTAGTTTCATTGTATGTTGAATTTGATGTCATTACTGGGTGCTGTTTAGAGACATAGTCCAAGTGGATGGTTGAACTAGATGATCTTTAAGGTCCCTTCCAACTTAGACGATTCTCTGATTCTAAGTCTCTCGGTTGTACGCATCAGTTAATACTTGGTGTAGCTCTGCCAGTTTGGGATGGTGAGGTCTTTCACTGACATTAAGAAACAGCCAGAATGTATCCAGGAGGTGGAAGAACAGCACTTTCTAATTTTTCACGCTCTTTGACAAAAGGGGGCTAATTCTGTGACTAACTTAAAGTTTTCCGTCTGACTTTCCTTACACTGATACTGTACCCTTTGGGGTTTCCTCTGTTCCCATGGAACATTACTTCTTTTTTTTTCTCCCCTTGTTTGTTTGGGCAACTGGCTGTGGCTAATTTGGTGCAAGATACACAGCTTCTGCTTCCACAAGCTGCAAGCAGATGCCCATCAGTTACCGCTGCCTTGGCTGCAGGTGCTGGGATGGATTACTTTACACTAATTGATATTCATGAAAGGTGTGGGACTCCTCGTGCTTTGTAAATGTTTCTTGTTATGGGGACAGACAAAGAACAGAACCATCAAATAAGCCTGATGTTCCTAAGAAAGCAAGTTAAAAATCAGGATAATATTTTTAATAAATAAGTAATCCTTTTCCAAAAAGCTGACTAGTAACAAACACAATTTGAATGCAAAGAAAAGGAGTTCACTAGAGGTTGTCCTGAAATGGAGCGAAAGACTTAGTCTAGTGATACACATTAGAAAACAGCCATAGATCCAAACCTCTGGAAACTTGGGAATGACTGTCATGCAAAGGAAGGTCCTTGGAATGAACTGACTCTCTGGTCCATCTTAGAGAATACAAAGGGAGCCAGAACTTGCTTTTGCACAAAAAGCACAATAGTGTAGCTAACCAGCCTCTCCAAAGGAAACCAATACAGAAAAACCCATGAGACTGGAAAAATAGGTTTCCTCTAGGTCTGTTAAAGCAATTGCATTTTCCTAGTTTAGTTACAGCAAATTCTAGTCTTAGATCTTAGTATATAATCTAAAACAAATATTCAAATGCTAGGAAAGCAAACAAGCTGCAAGAAAAGTCAATGAACAGAGGTAAACACAATGAGCAAGTGTAGGAAAAAGCCATTCCAAGCCCCCAACTTCATTTAACCTCTGCTGTCCCAGCAGAGGCTCAGCAGTGTATCTGTATGTGAAGTTGAGGGGTTAAACTGAAGATCCAGTTTAAATTAATGTAATTGGACTGCTTCAAAGGCCTATCTAGTTGCTGTAATTGGATCTGAACTCCACATATATGATCTTTACGGGATGCTGCTTACAAACCAGTTAAAGGGAAATACATGTTCAGTTAAGGTTCTGTACCACTGTAAAAGTGAGTTTAAACTTTTTGGGGACAGCTTACAAGTGCAGGAAGGTCTTCTGGCTTCGTATGAAGTGCTCATGTGTGGAAAAATAATTATATTCCTTTCCTCCTTCTTCTCCTTCCATCTTCTTCCCCTCCAACAGATGAACAGGCTGACTTGACTCCTCAATTGCTGCACTTAATAGTCCACTAGATTAACGTGAAATGAAACAAAGTGATGGTTTGCATTACTATGTTACTGGTCACAACCTGGCTGAAATGTTACTAGAATTCAAATGTATAAATGGAACATCAGAAGTAGGAATGTTCTCCTCCTCACAGCCATGCAAACTGTCCCTGTTCTGTCCCAGTCAGTCCGGTTTCACCACTACACTGTAGTTTCCTCAGGGTGAGAAAAAACACGAGACCCCAGCTTTTACAGGCAGTGTAGAGCAACGTGCTTCGATAGTGTCGTTACAGAATGGTCACTTTTGCATGCCCAAGGAACTCAGAGAGGCAAACAGCCAATCTGAGGTATAAGATAACATCTCTGTTTTTTCAGGCTTATCTCTGCTTTTTTTTTTTTTTTTCATGAAATGCTCCCATTTTTATCTTTCTGATCTTTGAACGCCACCAAAAGCACCATCTGGTGACAAGGGACCTTGCAACACTTTTCCCCTGATGCTTATGTTTGGGTTAATTTACACCCATCATGACATTTATCATTATAAATGATCATATCACTCTATCACTGAAACTACCTAAAAATCTTTCTGTTTGCAGATAATGGGAGAAAACCCTAAATTGAACCTTAACACCTTAACTATAGCTATTAAATTTAAAACGTTAAAGTTAAGATAGAGTGCAGTTTACCAGGCAGAGGATATCTCCACTCTATCACTGAAAAGAGGAACAAAAAAAAATGGTAACGGATTTATTGAGTCTATTTTGCAAGATTGATTTTTATCTGATAAAGGAATTTCAAGGACTGCGCATGTAGACCAGCACAGGGATTTCAATTACACTCACCCATACCTTTAAAAATAGTTATTGTCAAAGTTAAATTCTCTTGTCTGTTGCATTTTGACCAAATTGGCCTTAAAATTGTTTTAAGTATTGTGGTAAGAAATGGAAAAACGGAAACAGCCAGCCACTAGATGGCATTTTTAGTCTGGCTTTTACAGCTGTGCAGTTACAGTCACTGTCCTAAATATAAAGCCTCATATTCTCTCAATCACGACAACTGCCATCCTATTACAAGTCAAGTCTTGCTGGAGCAGTTAGATTCAACTGCTATTTTGAATATATAATATATATCATTGAATATACAATAAAATTCACTATTTCATATAATATTTGACAATGGTGGTAAAACTAGATGACATTTAATACAACAAAAAAAAAAACCAAAACCAAACAAACCATGGAAATAAGACAAAATTTATTTCTGAAGGAAGGTGTAGTTCAGTTTCTCCCAGGAACTGAACACCTTGGGGGATTCAGCATTTAAAGCTCTTTACAATAGCTAAGCTTTTACAATAACCTTGTGAGCTAAACATTATCCTTCTGTTGTCCCTGAGTAAACCACCCCTAAAGAAGCTTAAGTGCTGTGTTCAAGGTCACAGAGTGGACATATTCTGTGGATAAGATTTTCATTTTACTACACTGAGTGGTTGTAACCGGGGCCAAACTGGACAGTCTTGGTATGCAGGCTCTCTTCACCTTTTGTGGCAGGCTGAGTGAGCAGAAACCTACATGAATTTAGGTTGTCAAATATGTAAGGCTCTTTTGAAAGGCTTTTTACATTTAAAAATTAGTCTCTTCATGTAGGTTTTAATTTTTTAAGAGGTATGTGACAACAATTTGATTGGGCAAGAAGTCATTCAAGGTGCATAAAAGAAGTCAGAATGTCTTGAGTCGAAGGATTAAGCTGAAGTAGAAACTGTTAGTCTCAGATGATGCAAGTAACTATAATATAGACTAAAAGTAGTTTTTAAACTAGGCAAGACTTAACTTTAAAAAAGCCCAGAAACTTAGGAGGGATAACTCTTAGCTGTACTTAGATTATTCTACTAGAGCATAACCAAGGTTTCCATCAAACTGAAGGTTAACAATCAAATAATTCCTCGATCTAAAACAGATGCATCAGTTGAAGATATCAAACAGCATTTCTGTTAATGAAAGTCCAAGAAAAACAGTGGTGTAATTAGGGAGAGGTAGGACAAGGATGCACACTTGATTTTAAAGTCTCATTTATTTCACTTGTTAAAGAAATTAAGATACATTAAATAGAATTTCTGCAATATCAGTTTGCATTACTAGCAAAATTACATTCATAATAGCTAAAAACATTGCATTTTTAAATTATTTTCTATTTCCCTTAGCATCTGCCATATAAGAATCTCACATCTAAAACAACGCTGAATTAGCCCTCACAACGTCCCTGTGAGGTAGGTCAGTGTTACCCTCCTTTTATGTAAGAGGAAACTGAGGAACAGGAAGTTTTAGGTCAGTGTAGCAGGAAAACTGTAGAAGAGTTAGGTCTGGATTCTAGTCTTCCATTCCTTTTCCTGTGCTTCACATCTAGTGTCTTTCTCCTAGTCTGAAAAAGGGGAACAGCCCATAGTAGCTGTTCTTCCCCTTCCCCCCCATGCTGTCCTTTACATTGTACATCTTTGATGATTCCTCCCTCCAAGTTGATGAGAATTGATAAACATCATCTGTATAGTCCAGATAGAAATTGCTGAAGTAGAGCATTTGAAGCCCAGAATTAAAAGTGACTGAAAATAGGCTGTGGGCAGTGAGAGATAACATGACAGTATTTAGTGCCAGAGACACAAGCCTGCAGTTTGTCACTAAGCAGAAGCAGGATTACTAACACATGGCTTTTCTAACTTTCTTCTGAAAAAGTAAAAGGACTCGGGCCTGCTGAAACCTGGCACCTGCAAGGAGTGTACCCCCAACAGCCTGCCATGGCAAGGGGATGTTTGTGCAGCGATGCACGGTCAGTGCAGTCAAGGTCTGCCCATCTTAGGTCCCTACAGAAACAGTAGCTACTTTCTTCAGGGCAGATAATAAAGGAGGTTGTATTGCAGAGCAAATCACTTAACTGAGGTAGAATTTGAACAATTGAGAACCACAACACACATACCTGAATTGCTATAGATGGTTTTTTTCCAAGAAAATTCACAAGGACATCACAGTTGTGTGCTGCATGGGCTAAAAGAACAGATGTCTGCACACTGTGCAACAAAATGGCCTGCTCTTAGACACAGCATTTCACAGCATTTTCATTGCTATTTTAAATTAGTTATAAAATATAATTTTAGAACAGTAAAATATATATGTAATTTTCATACTAGTGCTCCTCAGGTGCACAGTATGTGTCAACAAACAGCAAGAATACAGGGAAAGCAATCTTTAGATCAGACAAGAGGTCAGTCAGGAAAATTTAAGTCCAGTTTGACTTAAATTCTTGACTACTGTTTCAACATGTATTAAATAAGACTATTAGAAGTTGTGGCCATCAGTACTAGTAGACCACTACATAATTTCCCATTTTATATTAAGTGGGATTTTAGTTTCATCTTAATTTTTAGAGTTTCAGATTTTGGAAAACACACCCATTTACTCGACTATCCCTTATATTAAAAGTGCTAGTTAAAAAGATCCCATTTCTCAAAAGAATGAGCAATTCAAATAAAATATGAAATCCAAAGATTGTTCCCCTTGAAGTAGTCTTCATGGAAATGGTATCTCATGTGTTCTGTGAGTGATCTGAAGACCAGCTTTCCCGTGTATAGTATCTCAGATGTGGAAGCTCTTGGATATCTCAGGGCCAGTATCAGTTTTCTTCAGGCCTTGAAGGAAGCTCGAACTACCCTCCCTTTAAGAGGCTGAGGGGGGCGAAAATTATTCACCATTTGGATCCTCTGGTCTTCCTCACTGGTGAAGAGGAGCATGCGGAACTTCTCCAGCTGTAAATTCCAGTGAAATAATTGATAGTGATTGCCCTCCAAAGCAGTAACACTTTTTTAAAAAGGACCAGAGGAAAATATTCAGTACATTTTACTCTGTTAATAGACTGGGTTCAAGCAAGGATCTTGGAGAGTAGGAACAGAAAAAACAGGAGCCCTGATTATTGAACAGGCTGATTATTCACAGGATAATGGTCTTTTAACTTAGCCCCACTGCAAACCAAAACAGTCACTGTTTATCCAGTGTTGAATCCCACAAGAACTGGAAGAGTATCAAAAGTTTACCTGTTTCTCAGAAATTCTGATTGGTTCTTTCAGCACTATCCATGTTACACTCTCATTCAGGGGTGGTGTTGTCAAAGAACCAAGGTATGTCCAATAGTCTAGACTCAAAGGCAGGAGACATTTGGGGTTGAAGCTTCTAAATGGAGCTTTTGTTCCCTGGGGGAAAAGAATTGATACTTGAAATTGATCTTTTTACTCTTAAGTGCAGGTTAAAGAGCTCTTTTTGAAAGAGAAAAAAATGCTAAGGTAGTATTAAAGAGTAGGGGAAAGGAAAAGTCTATAAAGGTTTGGCTGCCTAATAACAGCAGTTATCTACAAGCAGCATGGCAACTTGCAGACCTTCCATCACTCAGCTGAGGGATAACTAGTTCTTCCTGCTAGTGGAAGAGATCACTTAAACATCAGATTATTATTTAGTGTGTCTGCAGCCTACAGACTGCTGTGTAACTGCCTGCGTTTTCTCTCCTTCACAAGCATACACAGAGGAGCAAGAAGTAATATGCCCACTCAAGTATTAGATATAGTTTATTTTGCATATTGGAACTTAGGTATGTTATAGAATGCATTACCTCATGGAAATCCAGAATGGATAGCATTTGTAGTGGTCTAATCAGTCCACACTTGAGAAAGTGCAGCAGATACTGATCATCTGGTTGAAGACCACCTTCAGGCACCACTGTAAAAACAGCTGTGACTTGTTCAAGACCATACTCAATGGGAAAGGGTTATTTTGCTGGGTGCAAGAGCCTGAAGGGTCATGGAGCTTGTGATTTTAGATTCTCTGGGAAAGGCAGAACCTCTGAATGACCAGTGGGGTCAGCACTGCCCTGGGAGGGGAAGAGGGAGGGGATCTTCTAATGACGGGAGGGTTTGTCTTAGGTGATTTTCCATTTTTTTTGCCTCAAACATGTACATAAGCTTGATTTTTTAAAGGCTATCCCAGGAACAATTAAATTTAAAGACCGTAACCCTTACTTTAAATTTTACCATATACAAAGCATCAGTGAGTCTGTTCATTTTGGCATGTTCTTTCCCAATCTAAAAGAACAAAATAGACAGGTTAGATAAGAATTACTATAATTGTGCTTTGAATAGGTGTTGTTTTCTTATCTGAATCTCAACATTCCTACTTTAGTAAGTTTTAACAGCAATTTGCAATGGGTTACTGCTACCAGTAAGTCATCTGTTTTCCTTAAGCACTTCTTAAATATGTGGCTTGGTTCTCAAACACTTGACAGCATAATGCTTTTCATCATGTAAACATGCTATTTTTGTGATTCTTACCTCCAAGAAAACACCAACTACTGCCAGGCCATCTGGAGCTGCTGCTGCTTCTCCAAATGTTGCATATTTTCTGGCATTCCAGTGAACTAAGTGGAGCTTTAAAGACAAAATAACAAATAAGAATTAAAGAAATTAGTGATGGAAGCTGTGAACATAGGTTGTCCCATGTGAACAGGCACTATTGGTCATTTATAACAGAATGTAGGTTTTGCTCCAAAGGAATCTTTGCAAAGATGAGAAAGTTCAGTCTTTTGGATTATACTGATTGGACAGATACTAAGCAAGAGTTTCTGTATATCAGTCTTAATTTGAAATAAATCAGGCATTAACCTGTGACCCACCTTCTGCACCTTCACTCAACAGCATTTGCATTAATTAATCCCATCATTACCTCACATGGAAAGGGTTTGCCATCAATTGTATGTTCTGATCCCTGGCTGTGCTTTGTCCCCCAGTGAAAGTGAAACTGCTTCAGCCGAAAAGGATTCTCAAAGGGGCCACCACTGATTGCTAGGCAGGGAAGAAAAAAAAAAAAAAAAAAAAA